TTCAAACGAAAATCAAACTTCTAAAATGTAAAAGTAATGAAAATAAATGATATTTTCAATTAATTTTGTAGACATTTTGTTTCGGTGTTGCTGTTCTTGCATATAGTTCATAACATCTCTAATAACATTTGTCTAAACAAAATAAATAATTATTTAGGGGAAAGATAGAATATCAAGAGGCAGAGGCAGAAATTATTAGTGATTAATTATTTTTAAAAAAAATTGATGCACATGAAAAATCTTCCTTGGATTGATGCTAAGGAACAACTTTTCACTTCTTCTTTAGGAGTTGTTGCACAAAGATGAGCAAACTTATGGAGAGGAATTTTCTTGTGGATAGACTCTTGTCAAAGAAATATTTAATTTATTAAACTAATTAGTTGATATTTTTTTATAATTAAAGTAATTTGATGTGAATTATATATTATTAATTAATTAAGAATAAAAGCTACGGAGAATGAAGTTGAATTTTTAAAACAAAATAATTAAAAATAATAATAAACAAAGGATCAATAAATGTTTTAGGCAAAAATAAAGGTGCTACATCACTTTTCTTTTATATATATATATATATATATATAAAATTAGATTATTTGCAAATGAAAGAAATACCCACAGTTTATGAGGATGTGATTTGTTTTGGGAACATGTACAAAATCAACCAAAATTCAATATGAAATTAATATAATTATTCTTGAAATTACAATAGAAAATCTAACCCATAAAAGTTAATATTATTACATTTAAATCTACATTTATAATTATGTACAAACTTGTAACAAATAATAAGTGTAACAAAATTTGATATATTGTTGATAATGACTTATTTTTTCAAAGCTTGAATTTGGACAAATACTTTTCACCAGTAAAGTCATATGTCAATTCTTCGTTATTTCCTAATAACAAAAAATTGCATCAGAATAGTACGTAAAATCAATAATTGTGCCAAAATCAAAACAAAGGACAAACTTTTTTTTTTCCTGAAAAAAGAGCAAATTAACACTAATGAAAGCTATGGAAATGAAAGTAAGAATGTTATACACTGGAAATAATTTTCTTTAGTATTTATAGTAATAAAAAAATAGTAAAATAACGTAAGAGAAGTCCAACGAATTTGAGTATAATTATAAGTAAATGAATATTACGTACATTAATAGTGCCTAATTACATTTGTACAGTAAGGGGGTTTAAATTGGTATTAAAGTGCCTCAACGTGGGCTGCATTCATTTGGACATTTTCTGGAATCCCATATTTATAATTGGGTGTTATGAAGTTTTTATTAACAGTCCTTTAATTAATTAATAGAAGAAATCAACCAAAAGTGTAATTAAAAAATTTAAAAAAATGGCAAAAAAATGAGAATAAATATAAATCCAAAAGCTGGCCATAGAGAGGTGCCACATCACTGTTTCTATATCCAGCTTTATATTAATATATAGATGTTTAAAATTTAAAGATAGTGTAATAGATACTCTATCAAACAATACAACAAAATCTATGCAAACACTCCTATTAAATATTTCAGATCAAACAATACGACAATAAAGTTTTACATTTTTGTCTTCTTGGTGAAGAATTAAAGTGCTTCTTCAAGAACATATTTGCGAAAGAAATATTTTAATAGTAGTATATTTTGAGGTGATATTTTAAAAGTAAAAAAAAATGAAAATTAACTGAATAAAAACCAATATGATTGAGATGGTTTTAAAAAATCTAATTTTGGTTAATGTATTATAAAATATCCAAAAAAATTGAGATGGCATAATTTTAAAAAAATAACCGATCGAACCGTACCATCGACACCCCTAACAACATGTACATCTTTAAAGAAATTCATAAGCTTTCAAATATTTCACAAATAACCTCTTTATCTCCCATAAAATTACACTTTTTTCAATATCATATCCACTACTCTTTTTTTTTTGCATCATATTTGCATCTTTGACCATCCATTTTTCATAGAGTTTTCTGATGCTTCACAAATTACTAGTGCTTTAGTAATTAAATTGACATATTAAAGGCTTGAAACAAAGTATCATAGTTATTAATAATTGTCACTCCAATACTTATCATCTTTTAATCCTTCTGTAACCTAGAACCTCAAGGTAAATTTTGAACCCTCTAAACCATCAAGCAACTTCTAATAATCTTATGTTTAGGCTATTCAAAATTCATATAAATATAGTAAAAGTAAAATGATACATTATATATACACTATAATTTTTTCGCGAGGTGCAAGTTATAATCTTCTCATGAGTAAGGGTAAGAGAATTTACATGTTTTCATAGTAATAACCATGATTGTGAGTCTTGGAACTTTGGAATTACGTTCGATTCTTGATGATAATTCCTTTCTTCTTGTTGATTTTGATTTTTGAATATATCTTACCATCACATCTCCACATTTTGGGCTCTGACGCGTGCCTTGATAAAAGAATTTACAAGTTCAGCAAAAGAATATCGAACTTTTTGATAAAGAAAAGGGCAAACGAGCAAATATATCTTTTAATTTTGCGATCTAAAGCTTATTAAAAAGTAACATATATATATATATATATATCTTTGTCGTCTAACAAATGGTGCATATATATTCCCATCGTTTAATAAATAATGCATATTTATCTTTTTTGTCCGCGGATTGAATTAAAAAAAATATTCTTAAAATTGGATTCTAGATTTCGAAAAATGTCACGTTGCTTAAAAATAAAATTACACCACTCATTTTTTTAGGCACCCAGACCCGACCCAATTAAACAATAATAATTCTTCATTTGTTCAAATCTGATCCAAACTCATTTATGACCGGCTAGAAGAAGAATTGAATTTTTTTTTTCCATTTGGGTTGGGTCTAGAGGTGTAAAAAAGGGGTGAGATAATTTTTCGAAAGCTTCGTGACATTTTTTAAATTAAAAAATTAGTATTATAATTTTTTTCAACTAAGTACATATAGATATGTTGTTGAAAAGTGAAAAGAGTAAATATATACCATTTATTAGACGATAAGGGTATATATATGCACCACTTTCAACATATGAAATATCTGAGTTTTTTGTTAGAGAATTTGAGATATTCAAAATAAAGGGATTTGATCCCTTTTGTACTAGCATAGCAACAGTTAGTAGCTGGATCATAACTTTGTACTTACAACTTGGATTTAAGTGATTTAAAAGTCTGTAGTGATCATGATCTAAGAGATTTATCATGTAAAAAATGGGGTGCAATGCATTGCAGAGTTGTTGCCTAAATCTTTTCCTTGAGAACTAGGAATTGTGATGACCTACTTAGCCCATATATTATTCATCATGATTTAAAACTTCAAGTGAGTGATTCATTATATATTTAAGGGAAGATTATATAACTAAGCTAACATTAAATAATTAATTATGTTACATGATTATAGTTTTAATTAATTATAGAAAATGGTTATTGTTTAAAAAAAAAGGGTTACGGTGGATCCCAGCTTTGTGTATTAGATCATGTAGAATCATTTTTTTTTTCCTTCTATACAAATTTATACATTACCTCTCTCTACCATACCCAATTTATTTGCTCATTAAATCTCTCAGCCGAATCAAAATTCAAATTTTAAATAATTTGAATCAACCCTCCTAATCGTACAAAATCAAAAAGGTGAGACCCAACTTAACCCAGTAAAATAAAAAACTTAATTATTTTTTTTATTATTATTTTCTTATTGTGGTTTCAATCTTTTTTTTTATTTGTTTTGTATTATTATTTACTACAAAATTATTTTTTTAATGGGAATTCTACGGAAGTAGTTAAGCAATAAAAAAAGGGGTGGGGGAGGGGGGGAAGAAAGCTCTGATCTTTCATTGTTTCTTCTCCGGGGTCTTTTCGCTGAGCAGCGATAGTCGTTGATGTATGACTGAAGAACAGTTCAACTGGTAAAGAAATTGGGTAAATTGTATAAATTAATTTGTATATTTATTGAAGTTGTTCTTATTATTTTGTATAACAGTACGGATTTTTAAAATTTATATCCAAATTTTTCAGATTTTCAGTTGTAAATATACATAGATTCTTGTGTATTTTATCAATTATTTTTTCTTGTTTAGATGTTTTACTATTTGTTGAGATATTTGGTTTATATAAATTATGAAAAAATTCTGTTAGTATAATTTCCAAAATTGTGTATAGTTACTCTGTTTGTACATTTGACCGGTCATTATTTTTTGTAGGGAAAAAGGATAAATATATCCTTGAACTATCACAAATGGTACGTACATACCCTCCGTTATATTTTAAGGTTGCATATACCCTTACCGTTACTCTTTTGGGTTGTGTATACCCTTAAAACTAACGGAGGGACACGTGGCTTCATCTCAACAATTTACCCGATTTTATTTATTTTTTACCTAAAATTAAAAAATCCACCCATCTTTCATTTACCCACCCATGACCCAAATTAAAACACCATGACATTTTAAATTAAAATAAAAACAAAGAGCCCTCCTCCATTGAAACATAACCCAAAACCTTTTAAATCAAACAAAACACGAAATTGTTCTTCAATACACTTCATTTGCAGCTCTTTTTCAAATCTCTTTAAACAAAGACACAGTAGCTTGTTATTTCATTGAAAAACAAGAGACCCATTTTAATTTGTTGTTCAAATCGATTTATTGTTGAATGGGGTTGGAAATACTATCATCATTGAAGGACGAAACTTTAAGTTTAAAAGTGGGTCTTCAATAGAATAAAAAATTTTGAATTTAAATTGATTTGTTGTTGTTGAAAGGGGTTGAAAATACTACCACCATTGATGGACAAAGCTTCAAGAAAAGTGGGTTTGCAATCAAATAAGAAAATTTTAACTTAAATTAATTAGTTGCTGTTGAAACGGGTTAAAAATACTACCACCATTGACAGATAAAGCTTCAAGCTTTAATTATTTTTTTATTGTCCAACTAGACCCATTGGGTCAGATTTATAAATGAAGCAGTTATTTACACAAATGGGAAAGCAAAAAGTGCTAAACCCATTTAAAGAAAACAACGTAAAAAAAGCTAATTAAAACAAAATCAAAAAGAGGAAAGACAAAAACAATAGAAAGGGAAAGTGAAGTTGCTTAGCAGCTTTGGAGATGTATACTCTGGCCAAGCGCCGGCCAAACTCCGGTGAACTATTCACGGATCTCTCTTTGTCTACCACTACAAGCCAACCTGAAGACAACAACTATAGAAGCAACAGGGAGCAACTACAGATCAGGTAAGCTTCGACTCAGTTCTTTATTTCGATTTGTTGCTCTTTCTATACATCTGAAATAATGAAATAGTTGCGCCATTTATTGACTTCTTTCGCTACCAGTAGTGGATTTGAAACACCACTAGAAATGTTGTTAAGGACCGATTCTCGGGTTGAAACTTTACTCCAAATAACACTATTTCTTCATTTGGAAAGCTATTAGGTAGGAAATATGGTGCTTTTCCTTATTAGTTATCGTTGATGGAATGCGCTTCATAGAAACTAATACCACACATCAAAAATAATTTATAAGTTCCAGCACAAATGCTTTTAACCAGATAGTTTTCCGTTGTTGTTTAAAGGATGTAAGATCACTCACCACTCACTAATCCTTTCTAGATGTTCTCCCTTGATAGGATGAATCTCAAAGAGATTAATACCACACATCATAGGAAGTTCCTGAAATTTTTTCACCAAATAGGTACCTGCAAAATTAACAACTAAGTTAGCAAAAAAGTCGGCCAGAGTGTTGCCTTCCCTCAATGTGTGTTTCAATTGGATAGGAACATTTTTCCTCATCTTGTTAATTGCTTCAACCTCCTTGACCACACTCCAAGGGACCTCCCAAATCCCTTCAATAAATTTTGTCATTGAAAGAGAATCGATTTCTACTATTAGGGGCAATAAACTTCTTTCAATGCAATAGTGAATTCCCACTCTTATAGCCACAACTTCTGCCATAAGGTTGGTTGAAATCGATAAACTTCTCCCTTTTGCTCCTATAATATCACCAGCACTGTTTCTCACACAAAAAGCAGCTGAACTAGGGCCAGGATTACCTTTGGATGCACCATCTGTATTACACTTGTACCAATCAGGAGGGGGGTACAACCATCTCACCATCTTATAACTATATCTGGGCTGCCATCTTTCTAAAATTTCCACAATATGAGGCCAATATCTAGGTAACTCTTGAAAACAAGAAAATCTAGTATAAATAAACTTATGAATAGTATCAGTAGTATCGAAAATAATTTTCTCATACGCATATAATCCACCATGCAGAATGGTATTTCTGCTTTTCCATAGGAACCAAAGAATAATGATAGGGACATCAACCATAACATTTTTAAACACCTCGTTACCCTGTACATCTCTCCACTTCTGTACAGTTTGCTTAATTTGAATGAAAGGACCTTGAATTCCAGCAGCACTTGCAAAATAACTCCATACCTTTTTGGCCATGTCACCATCAATGAAAAGATGTTGTACAGTTTCAGGCAAAGGTACTGTACAACATAAACAATTAGGATCAACAGACCTATCCCAATTAGCAATAGTAGTAGCCACAGGTAACAATTTTTCCCAAAATCATCCAGGCTAGGAAGCCAAATTTAAAAGGCAACCTTTTCACCCAAATTAGATTATAATAGACATTCACTTCCTTCTTGTTTCTTAGCAACTCCCAAGCAGAGCTAACTTTGAACTTTCCTGTACTGTTGAGTAACCACCATGGTCTATCAGACAGATTAGAGGGGATGAAATTGTTCTCTTGCATTCCAATATGCTCAACTATTCTTGCAGGCAAAAGCTGTTGCATTTTATCAATATCCCAGCCTTCGTCGTTCATTAATTCACTTATATCCACCAATTCTGGGTAAATATGACATTCGGGATCTTGATGCAAAGGACCAAGCTTTAAATTGAATTTGCAATTGAATAAAAAAAATTGAGCTCAAATTGATTTGTTGTGGTTAAAAGGGTTCAAAAATATTCTTGAAATAGATTTTGATGAAATGAACCAAGTGCACCATATTTTTGTGGTGTTGTTGGAAAGCTTTTGATTTTAATTTTGTACAAAGTTGAAAAATTTGTGTTGTTGAAAGCGGTTGATTCATTGTTGTTGTCTAAACTTTAAGGAGGATGCATTGAGTTTATTCCAGATGAAGATTTTTTTTTCTTTTTCGGATTAGCAAGGAATCAGTGATATTCTCTCACAAAAAAAATGAAGGGTATTTGGTTGTGGGTCGAGTGAATCTTTTATTTTAGGTAAATAAATAAATAAAATTGAGTAAATGGCTGAGATGAAGCCACGTGTCCGTCCGTTAGTTTTAAGGGTATACACAACCCAAAAGAGTAACGGTGAGGGTATATACAACCTTAAAGTATAACGAAGGATATTAGCATACCATTTGTGATAGTTTGGGGGTAATATCAGCAAGTATACGTTCCGGCTATTGTTTGTATAATTTCAGCATTATTGAGGTATTTGTATAATTTGTTTTGTATATTTTTTTTGTGATCACATTATGTAGTATAGATTCTATGGATTTAGCGTATCAATATTTATTGTGATTTATCTTTTTAGACCTTATTTGTATATTTTCAACAGTTATATACAAACACTTTTTTGGATTTGTATATTATCAATATATATTCTTAATCACTTCTTTGTTTGGCAAAAGTCATATTTGGTGAGATATTCTAATCAGATACAATAACGATGATTTGTGGGATTGTTTAATTTTTTAATAACTTAAATTACCACCTCATTAATTAAGTTAAGAGTCTAATTTATATAAAAAAATAAATTTTCAATGAGATATACAATAGCTATCGAAACTATAGCTACGCTACGTAATTAGATAAACTATAGCTAAGAAGCCTCATTATATTTTAACTCTTAGCTATTTATGAAATTTTCTCAGTATTTAATGTACAAAAAAAACACTTGTACAACTAAGGAGGAGGACATAATTGTTTGATTATTTACTTACTAGGATATAGTAGGGTCATCAAAAGTGAAAGAGCATGAAATCATGAGTTAGTGGAAAATTACTTGACCTATTGGTATAAGTGGAGTAATAAGTGGGCCCTGTGACAAGTGTTTTAACATTTACACAAAGAAATTAGAGAAAATTGTGCATTATAGCAAACTATTAATTCAAAATAAATATTATAGCTATAGTTTCATTTAACTCTAATCCGTAGCAAATAAATACATTGCCATTCTCGTCTCTCTCCCTTGAATCTCACTCGCCTCTCTCACTTTTATACAAACACAAATGTATAAATTGTATTTGTGTTTGTATAAAGCTAGAGAGACTGTATATACAAATACAAATATACTAATACAAATCTTCTCCTTCTCAGCTCTCTTTTGCATTTCTCTCTCTCGCTTTATACAAACACAAATTATACAATGTACAATTTGTGTTTGTATAAAAGCGAGAGAGAGATTTGATATACAACAATATACATATACTCCTATAATATCATTGACTAATGAGTAATTTCTGAACAAGAAACCTTAATGATACTAATACAATATATATAATACTGATTTAGTATCAGTTAAGTCAATTATCAGCGTTAATGATACTAATACAGTACATGATAAGTTAAGCGAAAATTATCAGCCTTAATGAATGGGGGATATGGGCTGTAATATTTTTTTTGAGAGAATGAATATTTCTTGATTTACTTTGAATTAGGGTATGAACATATAATTATTTTTAATTTTATGACTCATTTATGTAGTTTTTCCTTTACAAATAGGAAGAGTGCATTCTGCGTCCTTTACTACGTGGAAAATATGTTTTTTGACAACCTATCTTAATGACTTTTTGAACTACACCTTCGATTTTAGCTCATATTTATAAAATTATTATTTAATGTATTAAATTACTTATATTTTAATTAGGTGAAAATATGAATTTCGGTCTATTTTTAATTAATAAAAATATGGAAGATTTGAATATTCATACTCACTTCTGTAAATAGAAGGAAAAAAATTCCTCAAAAAGTTGAGGGAAAACATTTTCTGAACCCACCCCCTCGCATTATCAACCCACCCCCACCTACCTACCTCCAAGTACCCTCACTCCCGTACTCCTACCCCCGGTTAAGGATTGAATCTCGGGTTAGAGTTAAGGGTTGGGATCAAGGTCGAGAGTTGGGTATCGAGTCGGATCTGGTCCCAAGGTCTGGGTCGGCATATGATCTCGAATTAGGATGGGGGTTAGGTTCTCGATGAGGTCGGGATCATTTTCAGGGTCATAGTCATGATCAAGGTTGGCCTCCAAGTTTGGTTTAGGGTTTGGTATTGAGGTCAGGGTCTAGTCTCGGATCAAGATCAAAGTTATGATTGGGTTGAGTCTCGAGTTAGGATTTTGGGTGGGGATTAGTTTTTTGTGTGGTCAGGGCTGGGGTCTAGTATTGGTTTGGGGTCAGGGTTCTCGATAGGGATCGAGAATGAGGTCAGAGTCGAGGCTCGGGGTAGGGGTTTGGTTTTAGGGTTGGTTATGTTCTTAGCTCAGGTTTGAGTTGGAGTTGGAGTTAGGTATTGGGTCGGGGTTGGTGTTGGGTCATAATCTTGGGTTGGGGTCCAAGGTTGAGATTGGGGTCGGGGTTCAATCCTAGTGCTGGGATTAGGGTTTGGTCTTGGGTCAAGATTCGAGGTCGGGTTGGGGTTTAATTTTGCATTTGGGTCTCATGTAGGGTTCGACCCGAGAGTTGTGCCTTAGGTGGGTAAAGGTAGTTTTAGGTCTTTATTTTTTTATAAGAAACGAAAAATAAAAAAAAATAAAAAAAAGATTTAATTTAAATCTTTTAAAAATATTTAAGTACAAAAAATGGTGTAAAACATCAAGGTCAGTCAAAAATCATGTGTCTACAGGGGTCAAGGTCGAGAATTGGATTCTAGGTCAATGTTGGGAACTGGGTGGATTAGGTAGTGGAGGTGGGGTGGAGTGGAGTGAGGTTGAAAGAAAGTTTTTGAAAATGTTTTCTTTCTTTACGTAGTGGAATCATTTTTCCTAAATTTAAGAAAATATAAGTCCAGTTGTAATTCATAAATTTTAAATTCTTGCTCTGTTTTTGTCAACTATAACAAAAATATGAAATTGTAAGCTATAGACACTACAAAGTTATAATTTGTTTCTTGCAATAATTAAACTACAATATCAACAACATATACCATGTAATCCAGTAATTACAATTACTATATAGAGTAATATGTAGATAACTTTACCTATATATCTTGTAAAGACAAAGAGAATGTGATGCAATAATCGAAACAAATAAAATTAGATAATACTAAAATCGAATAATAAAATAGTAAGAAATTATTTAAAACATTTTTGCAATAGAAATGATAGCACCAGTCACAATGATATAAAAAAAAGAAAATCACAATCTCAATCACCATTGGAGATAAAATTTCTGATATCTTGAAGAAAATCGTGATTGGAAGGCCTTTTTTCTTTCCTCTCATATTTCTTCCCTACTTCCATACTAAACTCCTCAATCCCTACTTCTCCACACCTCTTCCACATCCCTTCCCCAAAGCTCCTATGTGCGAAATACGCCTCCGCCATCACCGTCTCACCGCCGTCACCAACGACGGTCACCGGCAGCCTCTCGTAGTGACCTATCTCGATCCCTTCCAAATCATCCAGTGGTCCTAGCCCACTGTTATTCACCTTGTAGAGCTCGCCCCGAATCCGGTGACCAGATCCGGTGATGTTGATCAGGTACGGGATTCCGTAGGGCCCGCAACAGAGTGGGAAGGTCTCTACCGTCGTGTACTCACCGATGAAGACGACGTCGCCGCCGCTGATTAGATTTTCCATCAGGCGATGGTTTGGGAATCCGCGCTTTAGGGTTCCGTATGTGAAAATGAAGTGCGAATCGGATTTGGAGGCCCCTTCAACGATCGTCATTGTTGTTGTATCTGATTTTTTCAGAAAAGTGAGAAGAGGGATGAGTTTAACAACTTCACACAGATGAAAAAGATGAGATAAATTCACAAGGAAAAGGTGCTGGCTGTCACGTGGGGCGATTTGGGTCTGGGAATCTGTGAACCTGTGGTATTTGATCCATGATCAGCTGTGCCAATGATTTTAATTTGTTTATATTCACATAAAATTAAGAAAATATTTTATAATTTTAAATGTATTCAAATATTTTTAATTTTGTGGTGTTTCGTGAGAAGTTAAGACTAACGTTGTCAAGAAATGATGGATACAATTTTCTTTTTCCGGAATGACCTAGGAAACCTCTATATTTGGATTCGTTTGTAAGTTGGACCCTTCTACTTATCAATTTATCAACTGAACTCCTAAACTTATCAGAACGTAGTATTTTAAACCTTTTTTTCATTTAACTAGTGTGTGCGAAGTAGGGGTGTGCACTATTTAGATTAAACCGAAAAATCAAACCGAATTCTAATTTGGATTGGTTTTTTGGATTTTTGGTTTGGTTTTGGATTTATAATTTACTTTGTTTGGTTTTATTGTTTGGTTTCGGATTTAGAAAAATGAAAATCGAGAA